AACATTTTATTGGAGCATGTCTAACTTACTGACTTCACTGCTGCGAGCACATTAATGATTCTTCCATCAAGGCTTTGCCCATTTGCAACAATGTCACCTAGAGAATAGTAATCCTGAGGATCTTTTACAGGTAGATGTGACAAGGAAAGCAGTTTGGTGTCCACTTCATAGCGGTAACATATTTTGACCACTGAATGAGACTCACTGAGCAGTAATTTGTAGCAGCTAAATTGAATGCACAAAAATGTATTTAACACATCACTGATATACTAACCAGTGAAGTTATATCAGTTCACAGCAAACAATGTCAGTTAATTTTTTTTCTACAGAACTTATGTGGAGGATGATAAAAAGTTAGGAAATGAAAGTTGTTCTATCTTTATAACAACCTGCAATTTTTCATCCTAAGGAACAAGGACATGATGTCAACATGGATTGTAAGCAATTGTAAAACACAAATCCATCACACTTTCAGCACTTCTCAGGTGATTTCTATTTTGTGATATATACGCCATGTAGTGAAACATTTAAAAAGTGCTTTGTAAAGTGTTAAAACTACATACTCTTAGGGTAGCTACTCAGTAACAATGGATATAGTCTATAGTACTGTACTTAGATTGTAAACTTTTTGGGACAAATACAAATACTACTACCACCACCACCACCACCACCAATAAAACACACACAAGGAAAACATTAGCTAGGATAAAAGAGTTCTCTCTTCACATATTCAAATGACTGAAGAATATATGGGGGAAAAAAGGTTGTTTCTCTCTCAAACAAACAATCCTCAATCAATATTCCACACTGGAATTTGTGTAGATAAAAGTTTGCACTCAGCTGTTCAGCATCTGTGAAAAACTTAACTCTGAGGCTAGTTAAACTCATTGTGCCATCTCAGATTTCCAGATGCCTTTCACAAAGTTAAATAAAACCAAAATCATAGTGATACCATGTAAACACATTTTTAAAAATAATACTTTAGTGTACTTAAACTGCCTTCCAGACAAAGACATGCAAATGGCTTTTGACAAGATTAAACACCTTTCCATAAAATTATTCAGTGTTTAAATAAATACAATGGGCACAATCATCTTTTGAATAAATTCAATTAACTTCAACATACCATACTGCAGACATAATGGAAGTCCTACTTAGCTATTGAGGAGCTTTACTATATTAATATAAAAGCCAAAGGTCCACATCATGACTAAATAAATTTTTCCTGTAAGACTGTTTGGAAGAATATATATCTATACTTAGAAGATTTATCCAGCATTGCTCAGGTCCTTAATTAAAATATTTGTTTGTTTTCCTTTATTTAAATCATTGTTCTGGGGTGGGGCTAGGAATGAGCTGGGTTCAGTATGCAGGCTGCCTTTGGGAGAAAGGTCAACCCCAGCCTTCTATGACTATAGCAGCTTGGGACTAGACAAGAAGCATCTCTCCATGGCGACTGCAACTGTAGTAAGCACAGTCAAGGAAGAGGTGCATGTGGGGGGACAGACAGACACACAAATTCTCAGAAATATAGATAGCTGTGCCTTTCTACACTCCTGCCCCATTCTGGCCTAATGAGGTTATAGCTGTCCTGGTCCCCATCTCTCTGGCCTCATGCTGCCTCCTTTGGTCATTCTCCTGTATAACTGTCTCCTGCCCAAGCCCTTCCTTTCCATTTTATGAGAAATAATTGAATTCCAGGCACATTCCATTGTCCTGGCACAACCAAATCCTGACCTTGCTTTATGTTATGACAAGAGGAAGCTGCCTACCAGAGTGGGTGATCTTAGCTCCTACCATTTAGGAGGAGTTCTTGAGCAAACAGACTCACAGACAGGCAGACAGACAGACACATTTCTAAAATATATAGTAAGTTGAAGATATTGTTCAGGACACACATTGAATGAGGACAGACATGTGAATTCATTTTAAACAGCAGGCTACAATTGCATTAAAATGTAACACTACTACATTCTTCATCGAGTAGTGTCCCCGAGGGTGCTCCACTCGAGGTGCTGGGCTCGTCCTGGCGCCGCAAACCGGAGGATTTTCCATTAGCAGTAGCCCCCTACTGGACTGCGCATGCGCGACGGCCCCTTCGCGCCTTTCATCTGAGCGCAGTCCGGTCTTGTCAGTTTCTCTCCAACCGTCTGCAGCTGCAGACGGAGTTAGATTGGGCTCCCTTCCCCTCTCTGAGGAGAAAGGGAAAGTCTCTTAGTTAGAGTTAGTTTTCTTGTTTAGTCATAGATAGTTATCAGTTATAGTATTAGTAGTTGTAGTTCCCCTCTTTTTTTCCCCTGTTTAAAAAAAAAACAAAAAAAACGTTTTTCTTCAGCGACCAGTCAGTGTCTTCCTGACTGAAATTGACAAAGGAAGTAAATAACAGAAAAAGACTCAAGGATGCCAGGATCACCTGGCTTCAAGAAGTGCCTTCAGTGCCAGAAGGCTATCCCTGTCTCCGATGGACACTCCTGGTGTGTCCGGTGTCTCAGGGACGCTCATGTCTCAGCAAAGTGCAGCCATTGCGCGAAGCTGACAGCTCGCACCAGAAGAGATCGGGAGCTGAGACTGAGGGTCTTTTTATTTAATAAGGCTCTCGAAGCTCCAGAAGACGCTGAGCCGCGCTCTGCTCCCAAAGATCAAGCTGGGCAAGAGATCTCCCGCAGGATCCATAAGACGCCGGGCGGCAGTTCAGACAAACCGGGGAGCTCTGGCTGTGCGCCGAGTTTCCCCGTGGACAAGTCGGGCAAGGGCCACTCCTCTGCCCCAACTGCAACCCGCCACAAAAGCTCCGCTCTGGTACCCGCAAAGGCTTTGCGAGCGGAGTCGGTGCCGGCAATGGCTTCAACGGCCATGGTGGAGCCGGCAAGAGAAGCCCCAGCACCGGGAGTTCCTGCGCATGCGTGCCTGCAACCAGCTGTGTCGGCACCCGCAGCACCTCCTCTGAGTGCCGTTCCATGTTCCTCAGTGCCGGGCACATCAACCGGGCTGTGCGCCGAGTTTCCCCGTGGACAAGTCGGGCAAGGGCCACTCCTCTGCCCCAACTGCAACCCGCCACAAAAGCTCCGCTCTGGTACCCGCAAAGGCTTTGCGAGCGGAGTCGGTGCCGGCAATGGCTTCAACGGCCATGGTGGAGCCGGCAAGAGAAGCCCCAGCACCGGGAGTTCCTGCGCATGCGTGCCTGCAACCAGCTGTGTCGGCACCCGCAGCACCTCCTCTGAGTGCCGTTCCATGTTCCTCAGTGCCGGGCACATCAACCGCTGATGCGGCACCGCAGCAAGAGTCTCTGCCACCCCAGCCCCCGGCTTTCACGTCATCCCCGGCTGATCCAACGGCACCGAGCCCTTGCTCTGCCAACGATCAAGTGGTACAGGCTCCACTGCTGCCTGCTGTTCTGCCACAGGCACTTCCTCAGCCTGCCTTCAATTCCTCAGTGCCAACTAAAGCGCAGCAAAAATCTGCAAGGGTCTGGACACCGTCCCTGACACCGGACCGTGTCACCTTCTCCCCTGGGCCAGATTCACCTACCTCGTCCCATGCTGGTTACCATCGTCATGTTCATCGTTACACGGCCCCCAGGGAACTCTACTATAGGTCACCTCGTCGTTCGCCACCACGTCGATACTATTGGGACCACTACTCACGGTCTCCTTCACGCTATTATAGGAGATCCCTTTCACCAAGGTCTCCAAGACGTATAGAGTGTCCTCGTCGATATGACATGATGAGAAGATACAGCCGTTCTCCCTGCCACAGCCGCCGGGACAACCGATGTTATCACGAGTGCTCTTCTCATTCATCTCGCCGCAGAAGGTATTCGCGATCACGGTCACCGCAATCTTCTCGGCCTGAATCTCCACATGGTCCAGACGAG